CCGATGATCCAGAATAACGCCAGAGCGGAGATATAAAGGTAGGCCCGATACTTTCCGGACAGACCTCGTATATATATACGAAATTATACGATTATAAATATATGTATCTCTACATTTTTTTTCATGTTTAGATTTACGTGAGGAAAAATTAATAAATAAACTTTTAGGAAAATTTTATATCCATAGTTCGAAATGTTCTTTTAAATTTTATTTCTCCACTATTCCGATCTATTCCACCTTGTCTAAGATCGTACAGGGCCAATCCCTGGTCAAAGAGATTAAGTTCCTTGACCTAAAAGAAAACCGACGGATGCACAATCACGGATTGGGTAATAGCGTACCGATGTTGACCCATATCTAAGACATAATCAAGTGCTTCTGACTTGTGGCACCCGCCTCTGAGCGATAACCACAGGAACAGTATCGGTTGCGTCCTTCCTTGGCCTCCTCCTAATTCCTTCTTTCCATTAGAATAAAATACTTTTGGGGCTTGGACGTAACACATACATCATTCATTAATATATTAAAAATCATTATTCAGTGCCTTCTTCCACTGAAAAGATGTTGCACCAACATCCACAAAAAAAACAGAAAATTTATTTCGAACGTCAATACCATTATTATGCAGTAATTCTGTACAAACTGGAAATGCATTTAATCCTTCAGACTGAATATTATCATCTTCAGGACTTTACAAATGTTAAAATCAGTGTGCTTTTCGGTGATGTGGGTACAGCATCCGATGGCAATTTCCTCCTATAAAAACAATAAAAATAGAAGGTTTTAAAGCCAGTCGAGTCCAACATCAGTTGACATTGTGAAATCTTTATTATAATAAACTATACGTTTCGATCCGTGTATTGGATCCTTATCAATAGTTAAATGTAGTTACAATATATCATCATTCTTCCTGGGACAATGAAATATTTTTAATAAATATGAAGAACACAGACATTCATGTCTAAAGGACTATTCGAAACACTCAGTTGGTGATGCTCGACATGAATGTCTGTGTTCTTCATATTTATTAAAAATATTTCATTGTTCCAGGAAGAATGATGATATATTGTAACTACGTTTAACTATTGATAAGGATCCAATACACGGATCGAAACGTATATTTTATTATAATAAAGATTTCACAAACAATGTCAACTGGTGTTGGACTCGACTGACTTTAAAACCTTCTATTTTTATTCATACGAGTCAATTACTTAAGGATCTTATATTAAAAACAATAAAGTTCCGATATTAAATTATTGATCATAACACAAAATAATAAAATAGAGATATTTACAGATCGTAAAGACCCTTTGTGTAACGTCCGGTGCGCGTGCACTATAGCGCCCCGTCCTCTTACCAGGCGCGAGCTCGGAATACGGAGCGTAGGTATAGCGCGTGCCGACTATGGTCGTGCCAAACTATAGTACATGCCGTTGAAACTATCGAGATCTAACTCCGCGCATACTGCGCCTGCGCCGAATATTAAATAATGAAAATAGCAAAAGGCAAGCACCAGCGTGCATAAACATTATCACCACCTGGTAGGAAATTTCTAATATAACAGCCGACTTCGACACAATCACTACTAAAAACCACTGTATGGCGAGAAAAACGAATAAAAACGCGTATCTCCAACGCAATGCACCACAGCGCAACCTAAAGCGCACTACGAGTCACAAAAGACATCAGCACACGATAGACATCATCATAATTAACATCGGAATAAGCATAATCAGAAGGAAGCTTTAAACAAACAAAAGGAAGTCAAGCGCGCGACAAGTGAAAGAATCTAGTCAAGGCAGAAACCTATAACGAAAAACGCGTAGAGAATAAATGCAACTTTTGCCGCAACGGGCTGCGGTACGCGACGACTGAGCGCGCCAATATGAATCTCGCGACCCCCGCAATATAATAAAATGCGCAACCTAACCAAAATCAAATCATTGTTAGAGTAAATCACAAATAACGTGATCGGCACGTACTGGATATTTCGCAATAGCACGAGGACGAAAACATCCCCTTACCGCGAGGGGCCGCGATGTTAATGGTATATAAACGCGCGTTCACGGATTCGTCTCCTTTATTCTTCCATCCTTAAACAGAGCTAAGGTAGGAATACCGCGCTTACAATGAGCGCAAGCGACATCCCCTGAACCCCCGAACTCCGGCCTTAACCGTGCGCCTCCCCAGGCGTCGTTAAAGCTATCCTCGACCGTGACTCCACGTGCGACTCACGTAGGCGCGCCGATGAGCCACATCTCCTCTGTAGAGTTCAAACGAGCGCCTTCATCGGCGTCGAGGCCTCCGCACGCTTTCTCCTTTTATTTTTATCTTCTTTTAACGGAAATACTAAAAACCTCATTTTCTTTTTGTCATCTAAAAATGGTAAATGCCAAAGAAGAAACGACCTAGGGAAACGCGGCGGATGGAGGGTGCATCTCCGGGCCCTCCGGCGGTCCCTGATTGAACAGGGAAACGAAAACGAGGAGTCCGCGCCGATCGCGTTACCACCACCCACTCCGGCTAGGGAAAAACCCGGGGCGCGACAACCGACTCCACCACCCGCGCCTGACTCCGGGAAGGCCACGGAACCCGCGGAGTGCTCTAGGCCGGACCGCTCACCCCCATACATTGCTCCTACGCGGATACCAACCCGCCCTAAATTAATATAAATAAATATAAAACCGAGAATCATATCTATTCAATCGTGCGAGCTAAATATAAAAATATTATAGAGCTAATCAGTGTCTTTCGTTTCATATCCTTTCCAGATCCTTCCTTCAGAAACGGAGAGAGTAGATAGAGTGAGTAAAATGATGACCAACCTACAGCAGCCCCACTCGAGAGATTATAATAATCTCCATGATTAACAAGAGCTCACAACACACGAGGGCGCTTATACGATCTGACGACTCCTCTGACTGTCCTATTTATCTTTCTCTGTGAAGGACTTCGAAGGATCCAGTATTAAATAGAAGCCTCTTCGGGAATCTCTGATTAACAATAAAGTTCGTGCCTTTGCGAAAGGCACTGGTGACAGCAGCCTGCCTCAATACGCGTAAACAACTACCGAAAAACTATTTCTGTAGAAGCCAAGGCTTCGCCCCGCTCCGCGCTCGCGCTCCACAAAACCTATGTCGCGTCTCGAGACACCAGTTACGATAAACACGTGACTTGGGACGTGACACCCTTACTTTATAACTTCCGTATTTTGAACATAGTTGGGACTATACGCGACTATGCTGACTTCCTCCAATACCCACGGTATTCCGGATAAAAGACCCCGCACTATCTTTATCGGAAATGGGGTTCCGCGGATTTGGCTATAACTTTGCCAATTTGTTATTTAAGCCATACTGATGAAAAGTTATCAAGGTCACAACTTAATCCTATGAGCCATTTTCAATGTAGAGTCGCTCGAATGTACGTAATAGTATGATTTTCTATATGCATCCTAGGTAGCAAGATGATGTCAAATGACGTCTTAATAACATCTTTAGCATTAATAACATGTCATTAAGATGTCACTTTACGTCACCTTGTTACCTGGGATGTCATTTTTCTATTCTTAGCGGTTTTCAGGATTAACGTCGTGGACTTGTTCAAATCAACGACATATAGACGGAGCCTTTCTACGAGGGGTAGGTGATAATCGCGGCAAGAGGGTGTCTACTGACTTCGACTAGTTTTGTCGTAACTCGAATATGTTCGGCTTTCACATGACTACCCACGTGACTATCATATAATACTGATATGAGATGAGAACCGTTGATACGTAAGAGGCGAAGTAGCCGAATGTTAACGAGTCTTAGCGAAAAATAAGTCGATGTCAATAGAGAGAGGATATGGTGGGATGGCTCCCGTCTTGCCCCCATTATCACACCCTCCCTTGCCCTAAATAGCAGCTCATGCTCCGTATATGTCGTTGGTTCAAATAGAATCAACGCGTTATTTCCTCCGCTACGATTGCGTGTTGCTCGCGTCTTGTTAAAACTACAATTGCCGAATTATTCTATTAATCTCGTATATTGGTCAGTTCGTATATTCTCATTGTCATGTGCTTATAATCAGCGCACTTCCTCGTCCCCGATTTATTGCAGATAATCGAGGACGTTGGTATATCTGAGCGATTGGCTTTTCTTCGAAATCTTCTGTACAAAAGCATTCCGTTACACACAAAATGGTACATGACTTTTCGATCCAGTCTGGATCGTTCTATCTGCACACGAGTGTTTAACCATTAATTTTTAGACACCCTGTATATATCCATTTACTAAAAAGGTTCATATTCCAGATAGGTCTCCGACGCTAATCCTGAGAAACGCTAAGAGTAGAAGAATGATATGCATATAGAACATCATACTATTCCAAATACATACTATTACAGACATTCGAGCGACTCTACATTGAAAATGGCTCATAGGATTAAGTTGTGACCTTGATAACTTTTCATCAGTATGGCTTAAATAACAAATTGGCAAAGTTATAGCCAAATCCGCGGAAACCCATTTCCGATAAGGAAAGTGCGGGATCCTTTATAGTGGCTAGTTATTCCTCAGTATGATACGTTACGAGATATCCAGGCTAACCGCTTTTTAGTCTACAAATTTAATTTACATTTTATTGATATATTAAGTGTACAACTTTGCTTCCGCCGTTTTCCTATAGATGGCTTTAGCGGTAAGTGGTGGTCGAAATAAATAGACCATAGACGTCATACAATAAACTTGGGCATCTGTCAACTAACCCCATAGAAACATTAGTCGATTTGTGTCTGCATCACAAAGTTATTCTCGATTGAAAATGTCAGTTTACCAGCCAAATTCTCGTCATTTGCGGAAGGTTTTAATTTTCTGCTTCAATATGAAGAAATTTGCGTCTGAGGCTCATATATATATCGAATGCTCTCAAATACTTATGGTGAGGCCGCTATTAGTGAAAGAACGTGTCGTGAGTGGTTTCAACGCTTCAAGAACGGTGATTTTGACGTCGAAGACCGGCATAGCGGTGAAAGAGAGAAAGTTTTCGAAGATGCAGAATTGGAGGCATTACTTGATCAAGACTCGTGTCAAAATCAAAAAGAATTGGCACGATTATTGGGAGTGACACAACAAAACATTTCAAAACGCCTCAAAGCTATGGGTATGATTCAGAAGCAAGGAAATTGGGTGCCGTACGAGTTGAAGCCGAGAGATGTTGAACGGCGTTTGTTTGCTTGTGAACAGCTGCTTAAAAGACAAAGACGGAAGGGATTTCTGCATCGCATTGTGACTGAGGACGAAAAATGGGTTCATTACGATAACCCCAAGCGCAGAAAATCATGGGGAGTTCCCGGCCATGCTTCCACGTTGACGGCCA